TGTGTTTGTTTAATAAAAAACTTTGTTGGCTCAGAGTTGTCACTGTTGTTTCGTTAAACAAAAACAAAACATTAGAGGACATTGATTTATATGATGATCTTCTCATCTGTTCGTGATTTTTAATTGATGATTTTGAATCTTCGTAACCATCAAAAACAACTGTTGATTTCCACCCATAATGGAATATGACGTAGTTAATGTACTGCTGGTATATTTCTCCGTAATTTGAAGGAAATTGCCATACTGCCTTGTGGAGCAAGTTGCCTCCATCAAGAACGTAAACAGTGCTTGCTGGTAAGCTCTCGGAAGGTGGGCATATTTTATCTAAATAGGCGAATAAGGCAGATTTATTAGTTTTCCTCATGATTCCATTATCAAATAATGATAAGGGATACGGGGCAAGTTTATGAGAAAAACATTCTTTAAGATTGTCTTTAGTTTTATAGCTGCACAATATACGATTAACTGATTAGGGTTGCTGAATCACAATTGATCTCCTCTAAAGCTTCTACACCCGTACTTAGTGTGACTAAAGAAGAAATATTTTCATTGAAAGAGTCGTGTTCGGTTAACCATTCGACCAGTTTTTCTAGATCTTTGCAATATCTGCCGTTCTTTGATACATATTTAATTTTTAAAGTGAGCTTATTGAGAAAATTGTTGATAGGTACAGTCTCAAAACCGAATAATTAACAGAATTGAAAATTCATAAGTTGATAGATCGCTATGATACAAAATTACTTTTCATTGTATCTGATAGATTTTTTAATTCTCTTCAATTTTCATGTCTTCATTTTTTTCAAAAAAATGTACCGTTTTCGAGTTATTCGCGGTTTTTCCCAAACAGTGCTGAAATTCAAGATGGCGGACGACTTTTTTTGGTGACGCAACACTCGGAGGCATGAGGACTTTCAGTATGTTAATAAGGGGTACCAGGGCTACTTATTTTTGATAGTCGCAGCTTTATAAAAAATTTTGCATTTTCAACATTGTTAATTTCATAACTGCACTGGCCTAGTTTGTTGGCAATGATATACAACACAACTTTAAAATATCGAAATTTTTTTTAATAAATTAAAACATTACTAATGATAATAGCCATATCAAAAAAAACTCTCCTTAAAGTGCAAAAGTTTGTTTAAGTAAATATTACTACAATTTTGATATTTTTTGAGCTACCCTGTATGTTGTTTGACTTGCAACTATTCTAAGTGCACCTTATATGATTATTAGACATGCACCAACTTTTGGCCATGTTTGTATTTTGATTGTGTATTACTAAAAAAAAAATTCATATGTTGCACACTTAAGTTAAAATTAATGATGAACTTAGATCAGAAATAGCTGACATCAGACGCCAACTTTCTGCTAATAACGGTATCACCAACCCTGCGATATCAATTTTGACTTATCTAAAATTCAAAACACAAGAACAAGGTTGACTTCTTATACAAAACATAACATTGTATTTTAAATTGCAAAACAACGCATAAACAATCTGATCTTTCATTTTTTGTGGTTATAGTGCTAATAACAGTCCTATTTTGGGTCTAAAAGCCTGTATAGAATTAGAACTTATAAAAAGAATCGATTCAATAGATAATAATTGTCTAAAAAATAAAAATTCTGAAGTAAACAATATTTTGAAAAAATATAAAAATGTTTTTGAGGGTATGGGATGTTTGAAAAAAGAATATCACATAGAGCGTAAAGATGGCGCAAAGCCTTGCTTAAATTATCCTAGAAAAGTACCTTTTGCGATTAGGGATAAATTAAAGTTTACTTTGGATGAGCTGGAAAAGCAAAATTTAATTAAAAGATCTGATGATTGTGTTGATTGGTGTCACAACATGGTCATAGTTAGAAAGCCTAACGGACAGCTAATAATAGCTCTAGATCCTAAAGATTTGAATTTAAATATAAAAAGACATTTTTTTCAAATACCTACCTTAGAGGAACTAACAGCAAAATTGTTTGGTGCTAAATATTTTAGTGTCCTCGATGCAGCACAGGGTTTTCTTCAAGTGAAATTAGATCAGGTAAGCTCAAAACTTTGTGCATTTGCCACGCCGTTTGGAAGGTATCAGTTTTTGAGATTACTTTACGGTATTTGTAGCGCTCCAGAAATATTTCAGGAGCGAATGTTTGATTTTTTTTGGTAACGTTGAGGGCTGTAGTTTTTATATAGACGACCTTTTAATCTTCGGTGACACTGTAGAACAGCATAATGCTTGCAAGGCCTTGTGCTCATGCATCAAGAGCACTAACTGAAACACAGATTAGGTAGGTACTCTCAGATTGAAAAGGAAATGTTAAAAGTGTCTGGTTTGGACTTTCTCGTTATTCTCAATATATTTATGGCATTAAGGATTTAACTGTTGAAACAGATCATTTGCCTCTGATTATTAGTATAATTAAAAAACCATTGCATTTATGTCCACCTAGATTGCAGAGAATGCTCATCTAGCTCAGAAAGTATAATTTTAAACTTGTATACAAACCTGGTAAAAAACTAATTTTGCTTGATACTTTTAGTAGAGCTTTTTGTAAAAATAAATTTTTTGACGAAAATATAGACTTAGAAGCTCAAATCTGTCTTACCTTGATGAATATCAATGTTACTCCCCACAAAAAACAGGAAATTGTAAATTCTACCAATAATGACTCTGAATTGGAAACTTTAAAAGGGCTTGTAAGAAATAGCTGGCCATCTAGAATGGCTGATTGTCCTGAGAATGTCAAATTTTACTTTAGATTCAAAGATGAAATATCAGAAATAGATCAACTTATGTTCAGGGGTCAAAGATTGATAGTTCCCAGATCATTACGTAAAGAAATTTTAATAAAATTACACTATTCATACGTCAGTGAAAAAGTGTTTTGAGAAAGCCCAACTTTCTTTCTTTTGGCCAGGTATGAGAAAACATATAGAAGATTTTATTTTGTCTTGTCATGTGTGTCAGTCTTTATCAAACTCACAGCAACCTGAACCCATGATTTCCCATGACATTGTTTTGAGACCTTGGTATAAGCTAGGTGCTGACGTTTTTCATCTTTTTAACGAATCATATATACTTATAGTAGATTATTATACAAAATCTGTATGGGACATGGGTAGAGATTTAACTAGCAATAATATAATTCATAAACTAAAGGGTGTATTCTCTCGTTTTGGGATTCCAAACATATTAATGACTGATAATGGTCCGGAATTCTCAAGTCTGGTTTTTAAAAATTTTTGTAAGACGTGGGATTTCATACATAAAACTTCTTCCCCTCTTTATGCACAATCTAATGGTCAGGTAGAAAGAGTAATTCAAACTGTAAAGAAAATTCTGATGAAGTGTGCATTAGATAAAAAAGATCCTTATTTGGCACTTCTAGAATTTAGAAATACTCCATTAGATAAATCAAACTCTCCAGCTTTATTTAAAAGAAATCTAAGATCTATTCTTCCCCAACCAAATACTCAATTTAAAGAAAACAATTTTCGTAAAACTAAATTTGATCATTTTATAAAGAACAGTCAAAAACAACAAAAAAGAAATTTTGATAAAAAAGCAGGAAAAAATTAACTTAGCACCTTGCAAAATAACTCTTCAGTTCTTTTTCAATTAAAACCTAAAACACCTTGGGTCCTTGGAACAGTTATAAAAAAGGTTGGTACAAGATCATATATATATTGGAAACTGAAAATGGACAAACGTTTAGAAGAAATAGAAAATACATAAAAAAATACAAAGCAGAAGCTGAGGGAAATATCCAACTTGTCTGAGTCAGAGAATTGAAAAAATTTAAATGGATTTGCATCTTGTGAAAATTTTCAAACCTATAATTTTCTTCCAATTTGTGATAGGGGGGATGAAGAGCAATCGAATGATTACTCAAAATCTAGCGGCAACCTAGATTTAGAGGAAACTGACGATACATCCAGGAATGCTGGAATAGATTATGGTAGTAGTAGTAATAGTAGTAGTGATAGTATTTTAGACGAATTTCAGAATTGTGAGGATCTTGAAAATGACCCAATTAACATGGGCTCATTTAATAACGAAAGTTTAACAAACTCGAATAATAGAATAAGTACTAGATCAGGAAGAGCTATTAAACAGCCATCAATGCTTCAAGACTATTACGTTCAAGTTGATTGATAGTGGAGTCTTGTATAGAATCATGTTAGGAATCCTCGTATATGTAGTTCTGTACACACGTATTTAATTGATGAATTTAATAATTTGCATAGAAAACCAGAAATAGGATTTGCAGCTGTACAAAGAGCAATTAACTTATTTGTGGGAAATTGTGTAAATTGTTAAAATTGTATCTAATAGTTTATGTAAATTATATGTTAGAAGTCTTACATAAGACTTCTTATATTTAGTATTGTCAATGTATGGTGATAAATAAATTGTGATATTAGTTTAAGTAAAAATGTAAAGTTAACTAAGAATATATCTGTGATTATATCATAATCTCAAGAAAGGGAGATGTAGCAATGGCAAACATTGTAATTTATAACATATTGAATTTGTAAAAAGGTACACGACCTTCTAATAAAAGTACCTATTGGCAGTTGCCAACCAGAACTAGACCCAGTCGTTTCATTAAAATAATAAAACACATTATATACATCAGAGTCCCCAACTATATTTCATAGGGATAGAGCATTGATTGCTATCTAGAGAACGGCTAAAGCACAGTTTGTTAAAGTTACGAAGGCGAATTAGAAAAAAAGTTGCCATTTTTAAAGAATGTCAAAAATATAATACTTTTGAATTTGAACTATGTCTCTAAAATCCAGAGATTTTAAAATATTTGATAAAATTTCCAAAAGTGCGAAGCTAATATAAATTCGGCAACGAAAATATATTTTTAGTACCACCCTACTGTAGTGCAGGTTACATTGAATATAATTTACCTCATTAGCCACTTCTTCAAGTTTTATTTTGCTTTTTTTCTCCTATAATACAGTATTGAAAAATTGAAATAAAACTGCTATATTATTGGAAGGATAATGTATATTTTTAGCTTTGTGCGTTAAAATTTAACAAGAGATTCAATATTTCATTAAAATCTATAGATATATACCTATTTTTGAAAACATCCAACTTAGCTGCAACTAAAATGCCACTGTTTCCAACATAATCTATGAGTATTATAAAAAAAACAAAAATAAAAAAATGTGTAAAAGTAAAGAAAACTACAAATCTAAACTAATAACAAACAAAACAAACAAAAAGCACCAAAAATTAAATAAAATAAATATGTTTCTGACCTAATATCATATCATTTTTCTAAGGTGATAAGTTTTCGTTGGAAGAAATTAATGTCCCTGATTGTGATCCTGTAAAAAAAAAATTATATTAGTTTTGCTTTATTTTTTCAATCAACCACTGACGTTTCTGTTCAAAAAAGAACCTGCCAAAGAACCCAGTATACCACCCATTGATCCTAAGCCTCCAACAGAACCTTCACCGCCAACTTGAGGTCCATGGGCCTGCTTTAAAAGATAATAATAGTGTCAATATTGTAACCTAAAATCACTAATACTTACTTGTTGATTTCCTCCTCCAGAAAGTAGTCCAGATAACAGAGATTCCATTGGTCCTCTTTGTTCCTGCTGCTGAGCCGGATGAGGATACTGACCATATTGCTATTTTGACAAAAATAACATATTATTTTTTTGCTAATAATGGTTGTTACATGGGTGTTATTTACAGTTATTGCGTAGATAAATATAAAGTGGTGACTGTTTATTTACAAGAAGAACTCCCAAAAAAAAACTACAAGTTTCACTCACTTGCTGTTGAGGATTTCCTGAAGGCGGCGCAGGATTTGTTTCCTGTATAGGCCTGGTATTATTATGCTGCTCTCCGGCTTTGCTCAAAAGCCCTTGCAAAAGATTCGAAAGCATTTCAGCTCCTGGTTGATTAGGACCTTGTTGCCCTTGTGGTTGTGGAGGCACGTTACTTGTTGTTTGAGGAGCCTGATCTGGGCCTTGATTTCGATTGAGTAAACTTGACAAAAGCCCAGATAAAGCGTCAGGAGCCTGAGCTTGATTTGGAGCTTGAGGAGGCTGGTTTGGCCCTTCCTGCTCTTTATTCGAATGTACCAAACTAGATAAAAGCCCAGACAAAGCGTCTGATTGATTTCCTGCTTGGGGTGCACCTTGTGCAGTTTGCGGGTCCTGTTTTGGTGCCAACAAACTGGCAAAAAGTCCAGACAAAACATCTTGCCCTTGAGGGTTCTGAGGTGCCTGATTATCGGGTTGTTGGCTTTGATTGCCATTACTTAAAAGCGAAGACAAAAAGCCAGAAAATGCATCGTTGTTTTGTTGCTGGCCTGGTGCAGCAGCATTTGGTTGACTTTCGCCTCCTTTATTGCTTAAAAGTCCCATTAATAAACCTTCAAGAGGACCAGAAGGATTTTGTTGAGTAGGCTGGGGACCGTTGGTCACAGTACCACCAGCTCCTGCTATCAAATTACTCAGAGTTGCATCCTGGGCTTGAGTATTTCCAACATTTTGAGTGGGAGTTGAATCTTGGGTGGGTAGATCGGGGTAAATGCCGTATTTCTGAATAGGATTTGGAATGTAACGATTTTCAAGACTGCGACAATATAATAATAAATAAACAATCACCAACTCTTGCGAATTTTTATTATAATAATCTAAAGGCAGTACCTAATTATTTCATGCAATTTACAAACAATGATGCATATTTAAAACAACTACCTACTCACTTAATAGTAACTTATTTTCTAATAATTAATGTTAAATGTTTCACTTTCATGCGTTATAAAACTAAAAGCAGCTTTTTAATTTTTGGATGCAGCTATCACTTTGTTAATTAAGAATTAAATGGGCAATAGACAGCTAAATTCCCAGGAAGAGCCGGTATCTTTCCAGCACTGCTGCAAAAGCTAGTTTAGGAGGGTGAAAATATCCTTAAGCAACTGGCTGGTAGAAACAAAATAACCCTGATTTGGGTACCAGGGCATAAAGGGCAACGAGGAGACAGACCATCTCGCAAAGGAAGATGCTATAGCACCTTTTCTTGACCCAGCGTCTAATGCCACGTCTCCAAAGAACTGCACAAAAATGGGAAAGGAACCGAATGCTGGCTCACTGGAAATCTGTCCCGGGTTTGAGACAGGCAAAACAATTAATCATAACCATCTCAGTAGAGAGATCTGAACAGCTCCTCAACATGAACAGAAGAGACATTAGAGTCATTGATCACTGTCTAGTGAAATATCACCTAAAAATAATAGGCAAAGCAGACAACGACCACTGTAGATTTCACGAACAAGCAACAGAAACCACAGAACATTTGGAAGAAGCCTACAAATCTTAGACACCTAGTAACAGAGTCATGCACAAAATATCTGGAAAGGTAGCAGTGCTTAAACATACATATACAATCTACAATTTGTCAATCTTTTTAATTAAGCTCATTCTCCATGCCAACAAAAGTTGTAAATGATTGTTTATTTATAGTATTGTTTAAGCAAAATGAAAATTATTATTTTCCCCTTTAATGGCTCAAAAAAAATTAGTTATATTAATAGGTAGGCACAAAAGTCCTCCACCAAAATAGGCTTTTACTTACAGCATTTTGATGGGCATAACCTTGAGGCTGTTGCTGAGGCTGTCCACTGGAATGCAAAATGCTACCGAGCAATTTCTCAGCTGCTCCACTTTTAATAGCCCCCGCTAGGATGTCTTGGGCTTGCTCGAAAAAGCCTCCAAATTGAGACTGGGGTTCAGCCTATAATTCAAATAAACATAAATAGTTTTGAAGATTTTTGTGGCTTGCTTATTACCCCTGGTGGTGGTGGAGGTCCGTAGCCTCCAAAATTCGGAGGTGGAGCCCCATAGGCACCGGGTGGCGGTCCGTATTGTTGAGGACCTCCAAATTGTGGACCTTCGGCGTGTACTGCTGAAGCTTGACTTGAAGTTTCATTGCCTAAAAAAAACACACACAAGTAGAGACAATACAAATTATTATAAAACAATTTTTATTACCAGAAAGTGGAATTCCCTCAAAAGATATCAGTGTTAAAGATACGTCACCGTCTACTAGAAGGTGAGTTACTTGATTGTAGGGAATTCTGTGAGGGAATTCGGAATGGTGTTGGCCATTTACTGCAATCTAGGAATTTTTAATAACATTATTACTTCATTTTTATTGTTAAATCTTCAATAATAAAACTGTATGAGATCATATTTAATTAGCTCACTTTATAATGTTGTGGATCTACCAAAATAATAATTTCAAAGCTTTGTGCTTGTCCTATTGGTAATTTGCCACTGCCTTGTTCGTCGCCCCAAGCTCCGTCCTTGTAGGAATTTCTTGCAATATATCCTAGAAATTTAGTCATTTTTATTTCCAATTATTTTTAAAAAAATAGTCATTATTACCTTGATTTAATCTTACAGAAAGATGCAGAGCTGTATCGTCTCTGGGTTTAGCAGTTGGACCAGTAGCTAGATTTATGTTGAATCTATAAAGAGGAAAATGCTAATTATTTGCCTAAAATTTGTGTTATTTTCACCTGTCGCTGTCTGGATGAGTGACTCCTTGGAACCGGAGCATTTTGCCAGGTTGCAGTCCGGATGGGACTTCGCCAATGTAGGGTAATTGCTGAAGAAATTTATTGTCTATTTAATAAGGTACTTTAAATGTTTGCTTTGTTTTTAGATAACACAAGGCCATTTTCGTTTTGACTTTAGAGACAAAAACCTTAAAAGAAGGCTATTTTAGATATTCCTTGAGAGCTGGAAATTACTATCTATAACTGACATTGTTAAAAGTCCCTCATAGCAATTTTAATCTTCCAGAGACAGAACACAAGTTGGTAAGAATTGCTTTTCAAGGTGAAGAAGAGCTTTTGAGGCATAGAGAGGCGGTTTTTCTGGAAAATGAGTTTTAAAAGTAAATAGAGCATACAGGAATTTATAGCCTTCAGAGACAAAACTTTGGGAAAAGGCCATTTTGGATACATAAAATATGCTTAATTTTTGAGTCTACAATTTTTATTTTTGATGTTTTTCGAATTTTGACCATTCCAATCGATAGGGCGGATCCAAATTAATATCGCCCTAAACTCCATAAACTAAATTATTATTTAGAGCCGAAATCTATGAAAAAAGGCACTCAGAAAAATTGAAAAATTGATAAATCACCCCAAATTGCTTAACACGATTTTATCTCAGGAACTATAAGTGTAAATGAGCTGAAATTTCCAGGGACTGTAGTCCTTTGAAAGAGGTAAAATTCAGTGGAAGTTTCAGCTTTATATCTATAATAGAAAAAAAGTTAAGACCTTTCAAAGTTTTCCAAAATCTAAATCATAAGGTAGCTCCCTTCTTACTAAAACGATAAAAATTCAAATTTTTTTCTGTCAAGATTTTGTATCCTTATGGTCAATCAACATCCCCCAAACTCCATACTGTTGAAATATACGCTAAAATCTGCTTATACCTATCTGGTGTTTTAATTGTAGTTTGATAGATGTAAAAATGTATGTCAAAAAAATGTAGAATTGTTTAATCCTGTCTTCGTTCTCTGTGAAATAAAAGTTAAAACGAAGAAGTATCTACTGCAGTTTAAATAGTAATTATAACAGGTTATGGGCCCAGGTCCCTAGAGCGCCAAAGTAAACCAAGTGAAAAGTTCTGGTAAGAATTTTTTACAATTTTTGTTAAAAAAAAAAAAAAAAGTCAAAAATCAAATTAAAAAAAAAATGTCTCAAGCCGGAAAATGGAGTGACAGATATGATTGAAACAGAAACCATTCCAGGTAATTTGGCCACCGAAAATGAAAGACAGCAGGTAAATAAAAGGGATTGCAAAGCAAAATCTTTGATTGTACAATGCCTAGATGACAATCAGTTAGAATGTCTACGAGAAAAAAGAACAGCTTTTCAAATGTGGCAAATTTTAAAGGAGAAGTATGAGAAAAAAGGTTTACCAGGCCAGCTATTTTTGACTATTTCACTAGAATGTATTACACCAGCAATAAATTCGGTATTCACCTGACAATAATGCTACCTGGACAATACCAACAACATGGTATTTCAGCGACCATTTTTTGACATTGTCAAACTGGTATTTTTAATTTGAAGTTTTTATTAATAATTTTGCATTCTATTTATTTTCAAAATCTTACGTGAAATAGTCATGCCGAATACCACTCGAGAAAAAATTGTGTAGGCAAAATTGTTCTCAAGGTTTTATTCAAGTTTGTTGCTTTTCGGCAATTTCGCTCATGACATTTTTGACAAAATCACGAGCCGTCAGGCGTCATTCGCGAAATTGCCAAGCAACAAACTTTCATACCTTTCGAAAATTTTGCCGACAAAATTTTTTCTCTTGTGATATTATATATGAAAAGAAAATTATTATCAATGAAGCTTAATGAGGGACAATCAATGGAAAGATTTATTAATGATTTCGATGAAATTGTCAGGCAATTGAAGTGTTCAGGTGCACAGCTAAGTGATGAAGACCTGATTTGTAACATACTTCTGTGTTTGCCCAAATCCTATGAGACCATGGTAGCACTTATTGAAAGTACCCCGAATATGACATTTGAAATGGTAAAGCGGAGGGTGGTGGCAGAATTTGAAAAAAGAAATTTAGGTAAAAGAACTAATGATGGTCAGGACAGTACATTTGCTTTCACTACACAGCAAAAAGGTACATGCTATAGATGTGGCGAATCTGGTCATTTCAAGAAGGACTGTAAAAAGTTAAATAACGATATTAACCAACGATATGGACATGAACATAGAAATTTTTATGGAAATCGAGGTCGAGGAACGAATTTTCGTGCAAATAATGGTGGGAGATATGGTGATAATCAGCAAAGACAAATTTGGAAATATGACAATGGAGCAGATCACAGATATGAAGACAGAGGTAGAGGATATGGTTTGAGATATGGTCAGAGAGGTTCATTTCGTGGTTCAGGTATTCAGAATAATCATGGAAACAAAGGTAGGGGAAGATTTACTAATTTTGTTAACAATGATAGTGAAGAAAACTTAGATCAGAATGTTACTGAGCAAAACATTTGTTTTTCGGGTGAATTAAATCATGAGAATATTGATCTTTATAAAAGTTATTTAAATTTTTTTATTGATTCTGGTTGTACTGACCACATGGTGAATAAGAAAACTTTTTTTTGTGATTTGGTAATGTTAAAAGAACCAATCAAAATTGCTGTAGCTAAAAACGAAAGTTTTCTATTGGCCATGGGTGTTGGTAACATAAAGGCTATTAGTATAGTAAGAGAAAAGAAGGTAAATTGTACTATAAAGAATGTTTTTTATGTACCCGATTTAAGAAAGAATTTATTAAGCGTCAAAAAACTAGAAATGTCCAATATAAAGGTTGTATTTGAAAATTCACAGGTAATATTGATTGATGAAAAACAAAACATAATAGGTACAGGAAAGAGAGAAAATTTGTATGAAATATCATTTGAGTTATGCAAGATAGAATGCTTGAATGTTGAAAGTTTGAATAACGATTTTATGATGTGGCATAGGCGTTATGGGCACATAGGTTTTTCAGGTTTAAAGGAGATAATTAAAAGAAATATGGTTACAGGTATAGGTGGAAATGTTAAGATACAAAAAGTTGAATTTTGTGAGCCTTGTGTGAGTGGTAAGATGACTAGGTTTCCTTTTGGTTCGAGGACAAGAAGTCAAAGAATTTTGGAAATAATACATACGGATGTTTGTGGTCCAATAACTCCCATTACGTATGATGGTTATAAATATTTTGTAACTTTTATCGACGATTTTTCGAATATTTGTTGTATGTATCTGCTTAAAGCAAAAAATGAAGTTTTTGATAAATTTAAAGAGTATGTCAGTATGGTCGAGTCTAAATTTAATAATAAAATTTCAAAACCAAGGGTACCGAAGGAGTATTGGGGTGAATCGGTGGGAACTATAAATTATATATTGAATAGAGGCACATCAGTTTCTTCCAATGGAATGACACCAGCAGAAATATGGTATGGGCAAAAACCAAACGTAAGTAATTTTAAAATTTTTGGTTGTTTAGCGTATAGCCATATTTTAAAAGAATGTTGTGACAAATTTGATTCTAAAGTTGAAAAATGTGTAATGATTGGTTATGCAAATAATGGCTATAGGTTGTGGAGTTTCAAAAAGCAAAAAGTTATTATTTCTAGAGATGTAGAATTTAATGAGAATGTTTTTCCATTCAAAAATAATGTTGTTGATATGGCTGATGATGATCTTAATGATAATAAAAATATAGAAAATGTAGTTTTTGATATTCTTGATGATATTTCTAAAAATTCAGCTACTTCTAAAAATAATAGTGAAATTGAAGAGAGAAATGAGTGTCGAGACAAAATTTGTAGAGAAAATAAGCGTATTGTTAAAATGCCATCCAAGTTTGATGAATATGAACTATACATGGCTTTTAATGCTTATAACTTTGTTGAAAATGTACCAAATAATTTTTCTGATTTAGATAATAATCCAGATAGGGAAAAGTGGTTGAAAGCGGTGGAAAAGGAGTTGGATTCGATAGAAAAGAATGAAACTTGGATGACAGTTAAGAAACCAGAAAATGTGTGTATACTTGATACTAAATGGGTTTTCACCTATAAAAGTTTGGAGAAGAATGAATGTGACAAATTTAAAGCTAGGTTGGTTGTAAGAGGGTTTGCCCAAGAGAGAACAAGAATGGATGATGATTTATACTCACCTGTTGCGAAAATGACAACTATTAGAACGTTACTTATGATTGGAAATCAATATAAGTTTCACTTCTTACAATTAGACGTAAAGACCGCATTTTTAAACGGAATTTTAGAAGAAGATGCTTATATATTTCCACCAGAAGGAATTGTATGTGTTCCCAATACTGTTTTAAAATTAAAAAAATCTTTGTATGGGCTTAGATAGTCATTCAAATGTTGGAACAATGAAATTGATAAATTCTTGCTTAGTATTGGTTTTGTTCGATCTGAAAATGATTATTGTTTATATGTTTTGAGCACTAATAACGAAAAGTATTTTCTGTTAATATATGTTGATGATATCATTTTAGCTGGGCTAAATTTAAAAGAATTAAATATAATAAAAGATAAATTAATGGGGAAATTTCAAATGAAAGATAAAGGGAAACTTGAACATTTTTTGGGTCTTAATATTAATTATGATAGAGATAAGGGAGTGTTAACAATAGATCAGTCAAATTATACTAAAAATGTGTTGAAAAAATTTGGAATGGACGAATGCAATAGTTCAAGCATACCTATTGATCCAAAATTGAAATTTGAATTTTTTGATGGTATAAAGAAAAAGACAGAAAAACCTTTTCGTGAGTTGGTCGGTTGCCTTATGTATTTGATGTTGGGAAGTAGACCCGATATTTGTTATTCAGTGAATGTTTTTGCTCGATATCAAGATAAAGCAACTGATGAAAATTGATCGAATTTAAAAAGAGTATTAAAGTATTTGAAGGGCACTGTCAATGTTGGCCTAAAATATTGTAGAGTAGATACTGTAGGCGAATTATGTTGTTATGTAGATGCAGATTGGGGTGGTGACACTCAAGATAGAAAATCAGTCACAGGATACCTTTTTAAAGCATTTGATAATATTTTAATGTGGAGTACAAGAAAACAATCTTGCGTGTCATTATCTACAACTGAAGCAGAACTGGTGGCTTTGTGTACTTCAGTTACTGATGGATTGTGGCTGAGAAAGCTTTTCAATGATTTTGATATTAATTTTGAATCAATAACTTTCTTCGAAGATAATCAGGGTTGTTTGGCAATAATTAGAAATCCTTCTAATAATCGTAGAGTGAAACATATTGATTTAAAGTTTAATTTTGTGTCTGAAAATTTAAGAAAGGGTCTGATAAACTTAATTTATGAAGATACAAATAATCAGCAAGTTGATATTTTAACAAAAGGTTTATCAGGGCCAACATTTCTAAAATTTAAAGATTTATTGGGTTTAAGGGATTTTAGCGAAGGGGGGTGTTGAAATATACGCTAAAATCTGCTTATACCTATCTGGTGTTTTAATTGTAGTTTGATAGATGTAAAAATGTATGTCAAAAGAATGTAGAATTGTTTAATCCTGTCTTCGTTCTCTGTGAAATAAAAGTTAAAACGAAGAAGTATCCACTGCAGTTTAAATAGTAATTATAACACATACACTAAATTATTTTCAGATTTGAAGCCGAAATCTATGAAAAAAGGCACTCAGAAAAATTGAAAAATTGATAAATCACCCCAAATTGCTTAACACAATTTTATCTCAGGAACTATAAGTGCAAATGAGCTGAAATTTTCAGGGATTGTAGTCCCTTGATTTGGATGAAAATCAGTGAAAGTTTCAGCTTTATATCTATAATAGAAAAAAAGTTAAGACCTTTCAAAGTTTTCCAAAATCTAAATCATAAGGTAGCTCCCTTCTTACTAAAACGATAAAAATTCAAATTTTTTTCTGTCAAGATTTTGTATCCTTATGGTCAATCAACATCCCCCAAACTCCATACACTAAATTATTTTCAGATTTGAAGCCGAAATCTATGAAAAAAGGCACTCAGAAAAATTGAAAAATTGATAAATCACCCCAAATTGCTTAACACTATTTTATCTCAGGAACTATAGGTGCAAATGAGCTTAAATTTCCAGGGATTGTAGTCCTTTGATTAGGATGAAATTCAGTGAAAGTTTCAGCATAAAAATATGTACACCAACTGCCAAACTGCCAAATAATACCCTCTACTGCTTATAATGTCATTTACTGCCGTATAATGCCATTTACTGCTTGTAATTCCATTTATTTCTGAATAATGCTATTTACTGCTGATAATGCTTTAAAATGCCATTACTGCCTGTAATGCTTCTTATCGGTCAAATATATACAACGATTTTTGAGAAAAAATACCACCGACAGATGTCGCGATAAATGACAAATACTCGGACAAATACTGCTAATGTCTGCCCAGCGAGTCTGTGTCTACGGGGCAACGGTAAGGGGAATGCAGTTGTAAAAAAAATGACTGATTTCATTCATAAAATACCCAGCTGCGTGCGGAATTTTTTGGAAGTGTTATCGTATTGCAACTCGTACACGAAAATCAGCAATGACCAAATCTCCGCCACCGGATATTTCAATATAAATCGATATTCCAAGATGGGAGGATAAAATGACGTGAGCCCTGGCCAATAGCGAGACGTAAGGTGACGTTAGTTTATTGACAACTGTATGGTTCCTCATGACAACGGCGATCCTGCCAAAAACTCCACCAATCAGGTTCATCCAGGACGGATGCTTGTCAAATTGTCAAGAGCTGATGGTATCTTTAGAAAATGTTTATTTTTTACAATATACCAAACTGAAGAAATCAGGATTAAAATAAGGATAGATCTAACAACCACGTTAAAATATTTAGCGTTTTATTATTGTTCTCAATATTTTGTTAATAAAAAATGGATTTTCAAATTAACTATACTTCATCCCTAGCATTTTCGCTTTTTTATAATTAAATGTGGCAACATGGCACATTTACGTCCGAATTCCTTCTGTAGACTCAGATCCACTGGGCAAACAATAGATACTGCCAAATAATTGCTAGTTACTGTCAAATAATGTTTGTTACTGCCGAATACCACACGTTACTACCAAATAATGCCAGTTATTGCCAATAATGCCAGTACTGCCACTTGTTTGTACACCAACTGCCACTAGTGGTTGACCCCTCGGGCAAACCACCTAGTAAAAATGTGTACATCAACTGCCAAAATGCCATTTACTGCTCATAATGTCGTTTACTGCCCAATAATGCCATTTATTTGTATAAATGACAAATACTGCCAGATACTGCCAAATATTGCTAGTTACTGCCGAATAATGCTTGTTCGCACCGAATACTGTTCATTACTACCAAATAATGTCAATTATTGCCAATAATACTGCTACCTGTTTGTACACCAACTGCCGCTAGTGGTGGCACCCGTCGTTATGAACCTTTGAGGGTTGAAAATTATAAGATAAAAATAAATTAAAATATAAAAACTAAGTGGCAGACTTGATTTATCAGTTATAGAATTTATTAATTACAATAATCTATACATTAAAAATACACTATTAGGTTTGTTCTCATAGAAATCACAAACCAGTCAGTGCATTTTTGATTGGTGCAAATCGCCAACAGTCAATTTTCTGACTATTTTCAGCCAATGAAATTATTGGCTCTGAATGGTTTGTGATTTCTGTAACAACAGACTTTAAAACTAGATAATTTTAGATTCAATAGTTACTTACGGGATTCACAATAGGCTCAGCCATTTTCAAGCAATAAGATTCTAGATCAGATCTTTAAATACGAAATTCTGAAAAAAAAAATAGTACAAACGTTTTTTACTTGATTTTACACAAACAACATACAAATACAACACTAAGGTCAGACTGAATCATTATTAAACCACTGGCCATGGGTTTGCATTGATTCGAAATGATGTAATACTTATTTATACGAATTATTTAATGATTTTCAAGAAAAACACAGTTATTTTTGGCTCTGCGCCTTGAGTGAATACAAAGAAAATTTATTCATAATTTGATATAATGAATAAAGTAAAATGTAGATGTTTTTTCTATATGGAAAATTAGATAAATTAATTACTAATTAATTAATAATCAATCAAATATGTAATTAATTATTGTTTTGTGAAAAACTTACCAAAAAACAACAAACCACAAACCTGTCATAAACGTAAACAAATTTAGAGGTTAGATTACGTGTTAATTTCTCTTCTTTTTTTATTTTGAGGTCCAATACTAAAAAAAAGAAGAGCAAGGATAGTTTAAGGCGGGAAAACCAAGAATTCTCAATTTGAATTTTTGTTGCTCTAATTATTATTTATTTAAATAATTATAGTATTAAATTATTTATGCCAATTACCAACTAATTTAGGGGAGCCTTAACGATAAGTTTTCCCTAAACTGACATTTCTTCATGTAAAAATGTCATTTTAAGGAATACCTACTTATCGTATCGTTAAGGCTACCCTTAAAATTGTTGGTGGCCAAATGCTCAAAGTCCAATGGCACACTTACCCATAACCAGAAGTAGCTTACCAAAGTTTTGGTTCCTGTACCTGTTACACCTGAAAATGAAAAAACAGAATGTAATTTCTCTGTAAGCTATTGATAAAATCATACATGGGCTTTTTTAGGACCTGTAGCATGCCTTAGAGATCATGAGTTAACTCCTGAAGAAGTCTATCAAAAATTGAAATTTTCTCTTGAATCTTGTATTTTTTGAATCAAAAAACTTCGCAGGTTAAAAAATAGTGAATATCTAGAGCAGAAGTTACGAAATAACTTTTTAAGTACCAATAAAAGTTGATGGATATAAGTGTTATTGAAGTTAGAAATTACCTTGAAGGTCTGTTCCCACAGGAGTGTCTGACAGTTTACAAACTGTCAGTAAGCATCGCCCATACATGTTTTCAATGCTGTCGTTACAAGATAAATCTGTAACTCAGCTGAGCGATTGTTTCTGACAGGTTGCAAACTGTCAGAGACTCCTGTGGGAACAGACCTTTAGACGCATCATAGCATCTGATCCATAAAACCTCTGTTGATTTGAAATACCAAACAAGGATTTTAAAACATTGAAGTTGGACGTTTGTACCGTATCCACAGAGCGGAAGCCAGTTGATGAAATGAGCTGAATATTGTTACGATAACGCTGACAGAATAACGGCGTCCGCCAGGCTGTCAAGAATCGTAGGCCTCTGGTGTCGAATATCCTAGAATCTAGCGAATTATTCTACTTTAATCGGGAAAATAAGATTATCGTGTGTATTCTAGATTTTACAGGAATAGATTTAGGGATATATAAAGGCCGCTATTGCTTTGTAGTTTAAGTTTCAGTTTGACTGTGATACGATTTAAATAGTGATTTGAAATGTGAGTTGTAAGAGTTTAATTGTTGAGTTAGTTATTAAAGTGTTAGTGTCAGAGTGTATTGTTAAGTGGAATAAATTATTGCTGTTAATTGGACTTTGATTTTTGGAATAAACGAAACGAACCCAAGATTTCTGTCCGGCAATCCAAAGCCGTGACAATATGTTGGTAGATTGAGGGATAGTGGATGGTCCAGCTACCAAAGCTTACTTATATTACCAAATTCATCAATCTGCCATAGCTTATAAATCTGCCCTTATTAATTACTATATAAAATAGATTCCTAACATTCCCTTGCCCATTTTCCATTTAGTATTGCTTGTTGAGAATCCACACTGTTATATCGTCCAACATTTCTGCTATATGTATCTTCAGGTTCCTACAAAGATTTTTTACATTTGTATCTGAAAGTTGCTCATTTAAGAAATCGGAGATATTGATTTTGGATATTCTAGGATAAAGATCCTCAAAAGGCGATTAAAAAAATTCACCAATTTGTACATTGTGTCATTAATTATAGGAAAATTAGATCAAAAATGATAATTGGCTGAAACGACCGATGTAAACAGCCAAGTTTGATTATATACCTACCTAGGTACTTGTTTAGGATGAGGTGAATTTAAGTTTTTTTTGTGAAGTAGGTACCTACCTATTTTTTTGTAAATTTAAATACCAAATACACATACTGACAAAATAACGTCATGCAAGGCATTTTCTTCACTTTCTATATTACTTTCTACGATATTTGTTATCCAACATGTTTTAATCGGAATACTTATAAGTCAATGTATTTATTATAAATAATATACTTCCATGTTTGATTAACAAGCGTGTCGGTAAAAGTAGATTAATCGATATTATAAAAACCGTTTGAAATGGGAAATTTCTTACACGATTATAATAATTAAATATTGCACTTTCTTTTGCATAAAATTTGTTACCTAACATCTTATCATGAAATAAAACTCAATAGGTATAACAACAATTTTTTTTTATAACAACAATAAGGGAATTTACAAGAATAATTTAGGTACAATGATGACACAAATGAAATCAGTCCATATTTAAAACCTAATGCCAGCCCTTGCCACCATGACCATGCTCAACATGTTTCTCATGCTTAACTTCGTGATATACATGCTTGTAAACTGGAACATGTACCGGATAAGGTTTATTTACATGTACTGGATAATGTTTCTCGATTTCGACTTTGTACGGTTTCTTAACATAAACTGGCACCAGCTTTTCAACATGAATCGGCACTTTCTTCTCGATCTCTTGTGGCACCAACTTGTAAATGGGAATAGGAACAGGATGAGGAACGCTAATGTGTACGGGATAAGGTTGAGGTACTGGAACTTTTATAACTTGCGGTACCGGGACGCCGACCGGATGCGGCACCGGGATACCAACTTTTTTGACGACGTGCACCGGAACGGCTTTGGTGTGCTCTATGTGCTTGGTCGGGTGCTGATGGTATTCTATCTCGCCGCCTCCGTGGTATTCTTCTTGGTGGTGTCCTTCTAGTTCGTGACCACCTCCTAGGTCGTAACCTCCGCCGCTATGACCGCTTAGGTCGTGGCCGTCGCTCTCTGCATAACCAGCATGTGTTGAACTTAACGCCAGAGCGAGAAGGAATGGAACACCCTAGGAAAAAAATATAATAATTTATATATTAGTGAGAAAGATTTTATGAATGTTAATGATATTGAGGCTTGTTTTAGAAGAAAAGAAAGATGTTTGTATCAGGTGTTTCATAAAAAGTTGATGAATGTTCAGCTACTTTGGCGATCCTTTGTAAAGAATCTATGAGGAATATATTAATGCATATTGGCAAAATATGTAGGTACATTTAGATTGGTCGAAGAAGAGGTTGAATTGTAGGTATTCTGAAAGAGGATCTGTATAGTCACCAACCAAATCTTTTGGATTAGGTACCTATTGCAGGGGCATACAAGTCTATCAAAAATATGTTTCAGAAATGATCTGTAATGTGAACCAAATCTAAAAATTCCTTTAAATGAAGAAAAGACGAACTCCAAAACCAATAAAATTAGTAGATTTGTATTGACAAATCGCAAAAGATTAGTCCACATTTAACACTGAAAACTGTAAACAAAATACCACTACCAATAAAATTCCAACAATTTACTCACAATTACTTTCATTTCCGATTCGTATATGTGTGTGTGTATGAGCCGAAGGTGAAAAGCGCAAAGAAAGTCGAACCGCACTGATGATCTTGTTTGAGAAATGTTGTCTTTTATAGTGATCTGTAGGTTGGGCCATTTCAGTGAAAGGCCTTAATAATTCATCGACGTTTGGGAACATATTTGAATAGGACTTTTTTTGAGATAAAAATTGTAACATGTTGATCGGATTTATTACAGGCTTCTGATTCATGACGTGTGAATTTTCGCGCTTGTGGTTTCACTATCTTTTCATTCTTGAAATATCAATAATTTAGACTATCAATTAGTAATAAAATAGCTAATTAGAAATGTTAGCTGAATCAATCAATACAATTGTACATATTTAGTAATAATTTTCCCTAAATGTTATTCTTAAATTGCAAAATAGTTTTCCTTATGTTCTCCCTTCCATAATTACTTCAACATCAATTTGTCTTCTTATCCATATTCTTATTTCTATCCCCAGGCGCTTGAATTTTCTTTATTTCGAAAAATTCAAGAGCCGAGAATAGACAAAACTTGAGAAATAGAAAGTAGAAAATTCAAGAAAAACTGATAACAAATTGGTTAATAAGAGAACATTCATGTTTTTTCTATTCCAGGCTCTTGAATCTCAGTTATTTCTACAAATTCAAGAGCAAACACTTTGGAATGAATCTCGTATCGATACTAATCCATGTTGCCAAGTCATATTTTGTTTTGTCAGTAGATTACCATAGTCTTAAATATCAGTGGAAATCAGTAGACATACAAGTTGCCTTGTTAAAGGGGTAAACCATTAGGGTATACTCAATTAATTATTTTAACTACGTTTTTTCAAAATCAATAAATTATTAGACTATGAAAACTTGCATTAGAAAATCAAACACCAATACTCTACTTATGAGAAATAGTTTATTAAGATTAAGACACATGAAATATTTCTATTAAATATGCACTACCTATGGGATGCCCTATATTTGGTTCTATCTATGGGTTTACCAGTGCATCGTCATTAACTGCATATACTCTCAATACCGTGATTTTATGTGGGTTTGGTGTCAGGTTCATCTTTATGATTCTCTCACTTCTAGGATATAAGATCTCATGAAGTTATACACTTTCGTAGTTTTTTTGAGATCAGGATAGAGACGCCTTATCTTTAGGAACACCGCTATAGAAGTAGTCAAAGTATCTCCCAGTTTCTTAAAACCTTTACTTTTCTTTTTTGTCTCCGTCATAACAACCAGAGCAATGTCTGATTTCTAGGGTTCGTAGACAACTTCGTTTATTTTGTTTTCGTAGCTTATGTCGCCTTCTGAAGGTCTGGACACACATGACCGCACCGTATCCGCACCGAGCCCGCACCGAGTCCGTGCACACGGCAGTGTGTCGCTCAATAAGGTAAAAGCCACACATTTCCAACACACGGCCGCATGACGGTCGTACTACGAGTGCGGTCGGTAGTTTGTCACTTCGTCAGTTGGCTTCCTGCCTGTACGTGTGCGTGAGAGAAAGTAAAATGTTCGTAAAACCTCACTTTCAGATTCACCCTGTATAGTAGGTATAATCAATTTCAACCTATTTTAACAGGATTCTTAATTGAAAATAAAACATATGTATTTTGACTTACCCTTTATTTCTAAATGCGTAGCAATTAAAGTCCATACCCTTTCCTTATATTCAGCATTCCTATATTTTTCATTTCTTTGGTCGTACAATACAGGATACTTTTTGACTTCTTCTATCAGTTTCTCCATTTCTGCAACGCACCGTGCCCGTCAAAAATTAAACAAAACTAATCTCGCACGGTACGGACGCGGTGCGGTGGTGTCACTCGGGCTCGGCGCGGGCACGGTGCGTAGATGTGAAGACTACGACATAAGAAAACACGGTACAACTATTCACCGAGACACGGCCGTGTCTCGGTGCGGGCTCGGTGCGGACTCGGTGCGGTCATGTGTGCCCAGACCTTGATCCGTTGATTGCTCCGAGGCTCCTTCTTTCCCTTGGTGCAATGGGACTCCAGGCTTGGGACTGGTATAGCGGAGTTCTCCCCACAATAATTTGACTCAACAAAAATAACCACTGTATAAAGATATAGAGTAATCAATATTTTATTATTCCCGGCTTTTGTAGGAAATTTTTCACGATAGTTGGTAATCGAAAACAATTCCACCATTGTGTGAAGATATACAGGGTGATCAATATATTTTTATTCCTGGCTCTTAATATAGGAAGTCTTTCCCGAGAGCCGGTAATAGAAAACAATTTTACCCACTGTAATTTGACTCGACGAAAATAAGCCACTGTATAAAGATACAGAGTGATCAATATTTTATTATCCCTGGCTCATGTAGAAAATCTTTCACGAAAACATTGTTGTAATGCAAGTACCCCAGAAATACGTTCTTTAATGGATATTAAGCATAAGATCAGAGATCATAAGATTAACTTGACAAATAATGAAACAATCTTGAATGACACATAAATACAGTATTAAAACATAAAGATGTATAACATGTCATTAATCACCACATTCTCTCCAGGCTTATTTTGAAACATAATCTGTCAAAGTACTTTGAAATCTGACGGTTTCTTTTGGGTCAGACTAATATGAATTCACCTCCGGATGTGTTCAAGTGTAGATTTTCTTCTGAATCATCAT